AAAAAAAGAAACTGTCCAGATGACCTGACTGAAAAATGTTGCATCATCTAAAAACCTGACAGCATACATCAGCTGTTCATTGCTGCATCCATGCAGGGTATACTGATAAGATTTAGGCTGCTACATTCCCCAGCTGCTGCAGAACACCGTAAAATAAATAAATAAATACAACATTACACAGAAAATGTGACAAAAAAAATAAATTAAATAAAATACTGTATTCTCAAGAAAACTAAGGTCTGTCTGTTTACTGACCTAACGGTAAATTGAACTATTTGACGTCATCAGTATATATTTTTTTTTCCACCAGACAATACATCCGCCTTTATTTATAACAAGGCAAGCCACACAAACCGGAAAACACACTTAAAAAGTACCTTACTTCCTTGTTTCATTTTACATAACTTTGCTCATATAAAACAATTCTTGTTATTTCGAGAATAAAACAGTTCCTTTGCCTGTGATATGCAAACATTGATCGTCCACTTTACCGGTTTAGAGTTGTTAAACATGCATTTACAGTAGCTACTTTCATTATGTTAACAATATAATTTTTTGATGAAGTACTGCCCATAATTTAAAAATATCATCATACATTTTTCTCTGTGCTCTGTGCAGATGCTGGCTCTGTGTCTGGATGAAGGAAAGAAATGTTTTCAAATAAATTCCGTCCTGGTTCCTGAACTGCACACTTTTTACATGAAGGACTGGGAGGAACGGGGGCGGAGCTTATCGTCGTAGTACTTACGTCACCAACAAAGCGGAAGTTGACCTTCAAACGTTTCAAAGTTAAAGCACTTCAATTTAAGTTAAACTTTTAAAGCATGTCATACCAGCTTTATTTACAGAGCACTTTAAACACCCACATGATCAAACTGTACACATAATAACACAATCAAACAGACAATAAAGAATGATTAAAATAATTAAATGTCAACCGATGGTGTCAAAGGCCAGAGAGAAGAGATGGGTTTTAAAAACAGACAGCAAAGGAAACACAAAGCAGGACTTGATGGCTTTGTTCAGTGTTTAATTAGTATTGGGTGGAAAAGAGACAATTCTATAGCGTTTTCAGTAAATGTAAAAGAAAGAAAAAAAAACATTTTAAAGGCAAATGTTTTGCAGCAGACTACAATTCCTAGCAATAAAAAGTATTAAGTTTATTAATCAAATACCAGCGATCAGAAAGAAACGTTCTTTCTGTTTTTTAGTTTTTATTTAGAATGAATCATCCAACTGTGTATTTTTCAACTTATGTGTACTAGATGTTACTAAACCCAGCTGCTTTTTTATTTTTAAATTTTGGATAGAGGCTAGCATATATATCTGATCTTTACTGGGGTTGCACTCTGTACCTACCTATCTACAAGGTATGTAACCTGTAAGCACAGGCATGTAAACCCATATATGTACCAAGGTCAAGTTTTTTTTATTGTCATTTTCATCACATGTGGTGCCTGTGATGGAACAAAATTGTGTACACAGGGTTCCAGTTGGGCAGCGTGGTGGCGCAACTGGTAGAGCTGCTGCCTCTCAGTGAGCAGGTCCTTGGTTCAAACCCCAGTCCAGGGGCCTTTCTGGGTGGAGTTTGCATGTTCTCTCCGTGCATGCGTGGGTTTTCTCCGGGTACTCCAGTTTCCTCCCACAGACCAAAAACATGCATGTTAGGCTGATTGGTAACTCTAACTCTGGTGTGAGTGAGAGAGTGAATGATTGTTTGTCTCGTTTGTCTCTATGTGGCCCTGTGATGAACTTGCGACCGGTCCAGGGTGTACCCCGCCCCTCGCACAGTGATTGCTGGACATGGGCACCGGCGACCCCCGTGACCCAAAATGGAATAAGCAGGTAAAGATAATGGATGGGTGTATGGATGGATGGATAGATGGATGGAGAAGAACATTTGGTCTTTTGTAACTTAATGGATGCTAATAGTTATGTGTTAAACTATGAACATTTCTGTGCAAAGTATAAATTCCATCCCCCCAAAGTTGAATTTACCAGATTACTTAAAGCATTACCAAAACAATTTATTAACCATATTCAAAATATAATAACATATCATCCTATAACCCACATTTACCCACTCTATCTATTAATGGAATATAATTTACTGACAAAAAAATTCAACAAAATTAGAAGCTGTCTGAATGAAACCTTATTCCCTGGGAAAATAAATAAAAATAACACACTTTGCAAATTTGACAAAAAAAAAAAAAATGTTTAGAATGCTATATTTAAAACTCCCCATACAACCAAAGGCTAAAGAAACACACTTTAAAAATGTAGATGCAGTTTACCCCTCCAAAGTGCTACTTAGAACTCATTTTAATATTGATGACAATAAATGCTCATTCTGTGAACAGGACATAGAAACAATAGACCATATCTTATTTGCATGCAACAAGACCAGAATATTTTGGAATCACTTAGAAAGATGGATCACACTGAAAATTACACGTCCTGAATCTATTTCCAGAGACATGGTAACATTTGGAGTATTATTGGGAAACAAAAAAAATGGAACTTGGTTGTAATCTGGTATTTTGTCTGGCAAAATTCTTTATTCATAAACAAAGAGTGCTAAAATTATCCCCAGTTTTTAACATTTTTTTCATCTGAATTCCAATTATATTTGAAATCTCTGAAAAATATTGAAACACATGAAGACCTGTATGAAATGTTAATGGAATTGCCCACTAATGCATGTTAATCTTATTCCTAAAACATATAACCTTTTGTTGTAATTTATTTTATTTTATTTTTCTTTCTTTCCTTTTTTTCATATAAAAGTCTGCCTCTGTTATGCCCTTTTTAGAGTTACACTATTCTGAATTGCCATATTTGTTTGTACTTGTTTTTGCTAAATAAAGTTTTCTTAAAAAAAAAAAAAAAAGACAGCTTGTTCTTAAATTTTGGAAGGCCCTCCCCATACTTTTCTTATCCGTTCAGTTTAAACTGCAGTCACCCAATAGGAGAAGTACAATTACAGACCATAATAATTCATCACAGATCAGCTGTGCTCAAGGAGTTTTTTTTTTTGGTTGATTTCATGTATTCTGCAGCACTCACTGTTAATCTTTCCTTCTGTACTAATCTCATTAATCCTTTACATGTCTTTAAAGTTCAGTACACCAAACAATACATAATACCTTTGTATGAACCAAGTAAAGACCGACATGTCTTTTTGAAATCCAAGTGTGTTTGTAGTATCTTGATGCATGCTCAATAATCCAGGTAGAAAAATCTTAAAGTGTGTTTGTAGTACTTTATTCCACCACCAGAGGGCCTTCACACCAAAGCTAGTCTGCAGACAACTCAACCAAAGATAATTCTAAACTACCCATGTTAACTATTTTATCACAATAACTATGTCAACACAATTATTGCTTGGTTCACCATATCAGTTTGTAAGGCTTGAACTTGAATTTCTCTCACTCACTTAGTTTCCCCCCTTTTTTTCTTGCACCTTTATTTCCATTGTAGCATCCCTCTGCATATTAGGATACTTCACTCATATATTAGCACAACTGGTGGAGATGTGGACATTGTGTCCCTTTGCAGACACAAAGGAAGAGTATCTGCTGCCATGGAATATGTTTTGTCTTATTTAGACAGTTACTAGGAGATTTGAAAAGCTGATTTTATGGGTCAGTGTTGTGCTTCAATTACGTTAATCAGGAAAAAAGAAATCCTATTGTGACAATAGCTGTCATCATGGTAAACCATGACACACTGGTTTTGAGATCTTCAAACCAGTTATTATACATGTATGTGCTGCAGTTTCAGTCTGGTGCAGGATTTATCGTTTTTTTTACTATCTAATTTAATGCGGTAATTTGTTTTATGCTATTCCCAGTGTTTATTTCTATTCTTCAAATTGTGCGTTTTCAGAACCTGCCCACAGGAGAAAAATAGGATCAAATGAGAACATGCTTGGATTGAAGAGATTATTCTGCTTGTGATACTTATCAGCTGATCAATGCTTGTGCTTGAGAATACTTGTGTACTGATTTTTTTCATAATCATATGAATCTTCCCTGAATCAGAAATCCAAAATTCCTCTAAGCTGCAAAGCACTTCAAGACATTTGTTCAAATTAATTTGATACAAGATACCAGATTATAGTCCAATGTTAAATTGGTTTAATGCTGTATGAGAAATTATGCACTATACAACATGAAAAGATGTATAACTGGAGTAGCTTGAAATAAATTACATTTATACAGCATTTACAAACATTTTAGCACACTGTACACAGACATGTTCAGACATGCTAAAAAACAAAATAGTAAAAGTTAGAGGAAAGCCAACATATTAAGTTGAATTTTTGCTTGGTCACACTCTCCCATCCTGAGAAACCACAGAGGTGACAGTGATGATGGAAAAAACCTTTTCACAGGCCAATATTTTTTTGTCAGGTCATCTGGACAGTTTCTTTTTTTGTGTGTGTGCTGAAACATTTCGCCTTCGATCCAGAAGGCTTCATCAGTCAAGGAAACACACATGACTGAAAAATGTTGGATTGTATACCTGGATTATTGAGCATGGACTTTGTTCCTTTGGCCAGGCTTTAATGAAGCACACAGGGCTG